CTGTTACTGAATAGCCTGGATGTAATGTTGATTGTAAAGGAAGTGGTTGGTGGTTCCGGAAATTAGAAATATTGTTTGGATATTTGAGGATATTTGTTCTCGGAATATTCCAAGGTATCACGTCAAGGGGGTTTATTGTACACGATGCCTCCGACCCATATACAAGAGATTAGATACTGTAACACAACAAAGATACACGTTCTTTAAACAGATCGTTTCTTTAGGCTGGTGCATGTTTCATATCTAGTGAAATGTTTAATATATGAAATTCACGTCAAAGGAAAGAAATCTGGGTGTTTATATGGACTCAAATCTATCAATGAGAAGTCATATCAACCACTTGTGCAAAATATGTCACTTCCATCTCCGAAATATTGGTTCCATACGCAACATCTTAACCATGGAAGCAACGGCCACCCTCGTTCGAAATCTAGTTCTAACACGCTCGGACTAGTGTAATAGTTTACTATTTGGTATCTCTTATGAGCAATTACAGCGCCTCCAGAAAATACAGAACCGGGCTGCTCGCATCGTCACAAGGAAAAACCTACGCTATCATATTACGCCAGCTCTCAATTCTCTTCATTGGTTCCGGATCCGTGAGATGATTAAATTGAAACTGCTCTCCCTTGTCTATCAGTCGATTAATAATATTGGCCCAGCATACCTCCAGGACTTGATAACACTGTACAAACCGGAAAGATCTCTCCGCTCCAGTGATCAACTCTTGCTAGTTGTCCCCGTGTACAAACTCAAAACCTTTGGTGCAATATCATATGCTCATGCTGCTGCCACCCTCTGGAAATCTCTACCATCAGATCTTAAAACCTTCCCGTCACTGCAAGTCTTTAAGTCTAAGATCAAAACTCATCTCTTCAAGAAATATCTGTGAACGCCAACTTTCTTGTACACAGAACCTATATATATGTTATGCGCTTAGAGCGTGTCCCTGAGTGATGTGGGTGACGCGCTATAAAAGTACTCTTATTATTATTAATTCTTTGCTTGTCACCAAAAATGTATACGACAGCTTTTATCCGTGGCACCTGTATCAAATAATCTTTGATATATTTCTTTCAAGCGTCACTATAAAATGGACAGATAAACACAAAGTGAATGTCATTTTCAATTTCAATATCGTATAACTGACATATTTGTATCGATTTTTCAGTGGAGTGATTTCTGCATTTAAACCAAGCCGATATATAATAAAAGTTTCCTTCAAGTTTCCGTCGTGAGTACTGATAAATATATTTCGGGTTGCAGATGTCCACTTTGCAGCAGTCCACTGATTTCCGTCCATGACACAGAGTATAGTCGTGATCTCACTTTGTGCTGTCCCAATGGTCCCTGATGAACAAATCTTAAATATATATGTGGAATCATTTTTCCGTCTTCCGTTCTTGTGACAAAAACGGCGTTGACGCCCTTGGGATAGACCTTGATTGGTTCAAACGACTTTCACAGTACTGTATTTTGTCATCCATATCATATTGTACACAGCAGTCGAATCCCAACATCTTACTCTACTCGTCATTGACATGATGTAACAAGCATCAATCACTGTGTCTTACAATAACATCGATTTCTTGTATTAAGCTGGACCTTTACCTTAGTACAAATCATCGTTAGATTGGTGATACTCTCTTTGAAAGTGGTTGTCCATCAGAAGTCATTGTTTCACACATATGACATGACCCTCTCTATTTTCAAGGTTTTTTTTTAACACGAGTCACTTGAATATCCGATACGTTGTGATAGTTAGCCCAGGACTCAGGAACATTTGCTGCATGTTTGTACAGGAAGTGTAGACGTTCCTGGTGTAACTGCTTCAATGAAAGTGTCTGCTGCAGTCAGTCCCGATGGTTGTCCTGGCTATGTACAGGGGTGTTAAGCAGGAAGTGTAGACGTTCCTGATGTAACTGCTTCAATGAAAGTGTCTGCTGCAGTCAGTCCCGATGGTTGTCCTGGCTATGTACAGGGGTGTTAAGCAGGAAGTGTAGACGTTCCTGATGTAACTGCTTCAATGAAAGTTTCTACTGCAGTCAGGCCCGATGTCTGTCCTCGCTATGTACAGGGGTGTTAAGCAGCAAGTAACTGGACGGACACATTTAAATCTATTCCGCGGTGAACTTTTGAAATGACGCACTTTTTGTGTTCCTGTGGAGAGGCTTTGTATTCCTGTGGAGAGGCTTTGTGTTCCTGTGAATCTATATGCACAGACCTAGCTGTTTAGCCTATCACCCGATGCTCAAGCTATCCTTCTTGTCCAGATTCCTCAGATGAATTGCCAGTCGAGCAATATTCCGATTCATACAACTTTCTCAAAATTAATTTGACCTTTTTATGTTTATAAAGTATCACTAAATCACTAAATATTAACGTCCAGAGAAGTGAAAACATTCTAATGTTTAAACAAGAACATTTCATCCTATATACTGCTACAGTATGTTTCTCTATTTACACATGCAACGTATTATTTCTCTTTCCTCATCCACCTGCAAAATGTCAGTTTGGTTCTCCTAGTATATTACTTGTGGTTTTGATTGATTGGTCCGATCTCGGTATTACGTGTGTGTGTGTTTAAATGCATCGTGTTTTATACGTCTCATCATGTTCCAGGAAAACTCACTTCTTTTTAATTCATTTCACACTCGTCCAAATGTAATCATATTTCTGTGATGTTTTAGCTAAACATTATTTACACAGAGATGCAGTTTCCTGGGTGACGCCTTTGTTGACCAAGATGACAGAGCTGGTAACAAACAACTACCACAGCTGCTGGACCACCCATCAGTGCAGCAGGTCCTCCAATCGGGTTGTGTTTCCCCGCATTAGTGAGTCACCTCGAGACGACGGTGGACGGCACAAACTCCACACAGTGTTTCGCTGACTATACTTGTCACGCCGAATCATGATACTTGGTCAGTTGGTTTGAAACACTCCTTGACTATGGGTAGACCACAGATGAAGATTGGCTGTACACGACTTGGCGAAGCAGCGAGCTGTTTCTGGTTCCTGTTTCTAGTTCTCGCGGGTCCTTCCAGATTGTGCTGAAAGTGAGTAGACGGTTTAAGATTGTAAAGAAGTAACTGTAAATATGTTTTTCGGGAGTTAGTCAGGAGAAGGAGAATTGTTTGGGTGGGGATACCGTAGCGTTGAACGGCTGGGAATTAAAAATAGTAAATCTTTGACCGACAAACACAGAAACGCATGGGTAAAAAAACAACAACCGTTAATTGGTATATATAGATTAAATAACATGATAGGAAATATATAATCCTTCTGTAAATCCTTCTGTGCTACACAGTTTGTCTATATGATGTCCAGGTGCCGTGCAGATGGTCAGTGGTGGCGTCAAGGCCAAAGTCTGTTTGACCACTACGAGCTTTCACAACCGCACGGCAACGTCCAGACATTGGCAGTGTTGCAGGCTGTGGTTGGCGATGTCGCAATAGTCGGCCGAGTTTATCCCAAAGATCTTACATTTGGGTTCACATCTGTCTCTCTGGATGTCCAAGGATGGGTAGTGTCATTGTCCAACATTGCTCCTGTGTCGCGAGTCGTCTTCTCAGTGGTGTTATGTTTGATCAAACCCAAGCTTGACGTCAATGGCAGGGAAGAGGTGTTGGTGCAAAGCATCGTTTCTGTAACGTATTGCCATCAGTTTGAACTGCATGTGAGCAAGATTCCTACGTTGAGTGCATGATATACCAATATATAGGATATAGGATATTTATATAGCGCACATATCCAGGCAACTAGTGCTTGCTCAAGGCGCTGATATTTTTTTCCCTCTATCATTGGATGTCAATCTCAATGGCACATCGTATTATCAATCTCAGCTCCCTGGGGAGTATACAACAAAGTTAACACTTCTGGGGATCTGTAACAGGAAGTCGGCTATCGCGTCTTTGTCAGAGGAAACATGATTATCACTAACCAAACTCGTCGCAGATTCCAGACTTCGAACACCAACGAAAGCCTAACATGTGGTGATGACGTCGCAAGACGTAGCCAATGTATGGTCTCCAGGCTGACCAAGAATGTTGAAATCGTACAACGAGACGTGCAATGGTACTCTGACATTGAGACGACGGCCACCTGCTGTGTCAGACTCTCCAGCTGGAGTTGGGGTCTGCATGCTGCATGTTGCAGAGTCGAGTCGTGGAATAGTTGAAGTAGTTCAAAACTGCAGAACCACGTAACACATTTGTACACAGATGGTTTTCTGTTATAGACAAATATAGCCTTACGTTTTCCATGTTTTGCACGTGTGAAACATTTAACGTGTGTTTTGGGCTTGATGTTTTAGACGTCAGCAAACAACGCACAAGTTCCTGCATTGAATATTCACATCTGTACATGCTCATGAGCCATGGCGACCTCAACGATTTTTAAGCCATTTTTGTGAAAGAAACAAAATTCATTATACTGCATATTTCCAATGAACAGAAAACTGCCTACAGGGTAAACAGCCCGCCTGTAACCATGTTCTACACCACATACTAGATTTCTACACCACATACTAGATTTCTACACCACATACTAGATTTCCACACCACATACTAGATTTCCACACCACATACTAGATTTCCACACCATATCCTAGATTTCCAATACTGACTGTTGAAACAGACATTGTAAAGGAAATGAAAAACTTGTGAATACTTCTTGTATAAGACGAACGAAATATTCGTTGTACTTGTCGTATATAAATAACTTCATAGGTCCCGTCAAGCGTATGGATACAATATGTCACCGTCATGTAAATATTGTAAATAATACATCTTCAAAGACATATACCAACTGTCTTCCTGGGCCTAGATTTGCGAAGCACTCCTAGCGCTAAGATAGTCGTAAGTGCCATACATTAACATTAACTTACGACTATCTTAGCGCTAAGTGAGCTTCGAAAATCTAGGCCCTGTACCTTAGTTTTTGTACATAATCATCGTGTATCTTCACGTAGAAACATCCAGTGGTTGTGCTACATACAGAGACAATGTCACTCTCCTCCTGGCCTGCGACCCTGGACAGTATATCACCATAGATGCCGTGTTGGTTGGGCCTCTAACCTCAGACTGTAAGGTCAGCAAGGAGTGCGGCAGCCCATCAGCCAACATCTCACAGCTGCCTGGAGTCATCGCTTGTAACGGCCAAGGAAGTTGTAATGCGTCGCTGCAGTTAGCCGTCACCTGTAACAACAGCTTCCGGTCAAATTATGCCGTGGAGATACTTTACAGGTGTTTTCGATGTAAGTATACTGTTACTTGTATACTACCATGTCCGCGAACACCACATGTGTGTGACATATCGCCGTGTTCGCGAACACCACATGTGTGTGACATATCGCCAAGTCAGCGAACATCACATGTGTGTGACAGATCGCCATGTCCGCGAACACCACATGTGTGTGACATATCGCCGTGTTCGCGAACACCACATGTGTGTGACATATCGCCTTGTCCGCGAAAACCACATGTTTGTGACATATCGCCGTGTCCGCGAACACCACATGTTTGTGACATATCGCCGTGTCCGCGAACACCACATATGTTTGACATATCGCAATGTCCGCGAACACATGTGTGTGACATATCGCCATGATCGCGAATACCACATGTGTGTGACATATCGCCGTGTCCGCGAACACCACATGTTTGTGACATATCGCCGTGTCCGCGAACACCACATATGTTTGACATATCGCAATGTCCGCGAACACATGTGTGTGACATATCGCCATGATCGCGAATACCACATGTGTGTGACATATCGCCGTGTCCGCGAACACCACATGTCTGTGACATATCGCCGTGCCCGCGAACACCACATATGTGTGACATATCGCCATGTTCGCGAATACCACATGTGTGTGACATATCGCCGTGTCCGCGAACACCACATGTCTGTGACATATCGCCGTGCCCGCGAACACCACATATGTGTGACATATCGCCATGTCCGCGAACACCACATATGTGTGACATATCGCAATGTCCGCGAACACCACATATGTTTGACATATCGCCATGTCATCGTATACTATTCAAGGGAAACATAAACAAACATAGAGGGTACATCAACCCATGTAGTGGGGCGGTTAAGGCCAGGATTTTGTCAAAATTGTGCACTTTGGGTTAAAAGCACCAAACTTGGCACACTGATACATTGAACAATTCTCAACATTTCTGGATATGGATCCACCTCAGTAGTGCCCCCTGGTGGCCGAAAATCCAAGATGGCCGCCAGTTTGACTGAAATCTCTAACTATGTCAGCCCATGCTCAACATATCATAATTATCTTGTCATATTCAATATTTTATAAAGGAATTGTCTTCATAGTGCTGTATGTAATTTACATCTAGCATGTAGCGCCCCCTGGTGATGACAAAATTCCAAGATGGCCGCCAAATTTAGACTTCTATAGAATGTTTCAAATGTTTGTACACAATGTCAGTATTATTTGTTCAGATCAGTTTAATTTAAGATTTAAAAAAATCCTTGTTACTGAATGTTCTAGCTATTAATACCAAAATGATTTTCCTTGTACATTTAAAGTATTACCTTTTGTTATTTATAAAATAATTAACACATGATTAACATGATGAATACAGTATTGATCAACGTTTGGATGGAGAGCATTCTTGTGATGGATATTTCATTAATGAGGTACCCAAAGGTATGAATGGGAGGGAACATCAAACAAAGTTCAACTGATGGAAGAAATAGGAAGATCATTGTCAAGCTGCCGTTCGTCTATACCAGTGTACCCCCATTTTGTTTTACCAAGACGGATCATTATATGCCGCCTTTGAAATGACCTTTTACTCAAGATGAACATTGTGTTAACACAATGTTTGATTATGAGAACTAGGTAATAATGATGTTTTTCTCTCATGGGAAGCATACAATGCACTAACAGACCCTCCAACAACAATTGCGCTTATGCCACTGTTTTTAGAATGTGCACACTCTGTTGCTACGATACAACATTCAATGAATGTGGCAAAGAAGGCTGTTGAGCAGTCACACCTAGGTCATCTACCTGTATGCAAATGCTAAAACAATCCAGTGGAATTTTCCGGAATCATATGATGATGCCAGTTTCCTTATATCAGGTTTGGTGGATTGGGTATTGAAATAGCTGCGTTCAGGATCCTCGGATTTGACGGACAACTGCAATTTGCGTAGCTTGGTTTGCTGATTCCTTCATCAAGTGTACCCACCTTGCTAGAACAAGGCATGTCCATCAGATCACAGCCGCTACACTATTCCTACAACACCACCAGGCACATGCTCACTGTCAGGAAACAGAACCAAACAAAGAAGACCTTTTTACTTTTAGAAGCTTGTGTGATGCAAAGTCAGCTTCTCAATCCTAGTTTCAGTATTGGTCCTTTGTTCCTGAACTTGAACTTTGCACATTGTGCCTGGTGGGTGCAATTCGAAAAGCAGATTCCCCAAAGTATGTAGCATCACTTGTCAGAGTAATACCATGGGTCTTTATGTTAGATCATGTCATCTATGCACGTTCGCTTTCAGTTCACATCAGAAACATGTCTTCCTTATCAGTGGAACACTCAGCACTGTACCACACAGTTTGTTCTGGTGGATTTGTAGAACATAAAACTAAACGACCATTCCCTGCCATGGTACTAGATCGGGCTCATGAAGAAGTCAATGCTCTTGTGAAAGGAGATGGAGGCGCAGTTGGACTGACAGAAAACCCATCAGGATGGGTGGTTGCAGGACCAGAAGCGTCTAGAATGATTCAAGAATTCAATTCAATATGAGAGTTTTGTAAAAGAAAGGTTCATTGACAGATCAAAACCAATAAAGGAACCAATAAGAAAGAGCAAGCTGCCACTGTTTTTAAGACTGAAGACTCTTCGTCTTCCTATCTCATTGTGCATCACTTGAGGGTGACTGTGCGCTCTGTTTACCAGGTTGTACATATCATGTCTACCAAGAGAAGGGGACTTTCTTCGAGCATGAAAATCAACCATGGCCTCCTTTATTGTCCAAGATGGGATGAATTAGATCTCGTACAGACCTTCTTGAACAACTTGAACATATACAGGCGGAGCCACCAGATGCTACTCCAGCTGTTTCTGCAGTGATACTTGATGGCCCCATGATTGTGCAGATGCTTCATCCCAGAACATCCATAATGTTTCAAGTCGATATCCAGAATGTATTTCTGCCATACATGTTCCAGTATCTTGAACAACAGGACAGACTGGATATTCTTTGGGACACCTAAACGTACAGCCTTAAAGCATTCACCATAGAAAAAGGTGGCAAGGGTCTAAGAAGAATAGTCAAAGCATCATCACTTGTGCGAAGTAACTGAGAAAGCTTCTTCTCAGTTAATGAGAACAAAGATGAGCTTTTGGCACTGCATGCTGAACAGGTTTCTTCAACATAATTTGAAGGAAAACAAATTTACAGCACCCTTGAGACAAGAGTTGTAACCTCTCCTGAAACAGCTGACAGAAGAGTCCATGAAGAAGCCCACACTCGTCTTGTATTGCAATATCTGCTGCTTCACGTGGTGCGCTAAAACGGTGCTGATTAGTACTGCTTACACAGACGTTGTTGTCATAACGATAACAAACATTCAACAGATACCTTCAGAGTATGGATATCATTTGGCCTAGGCAAGCACAAAGGATATATAGCTGCACATTAAATTGGAACTACCCTCTTTCCATCAAAATAAAAGGCATTGTCAGTATTGCATGCCTTCACCAATTGCGATGTAACTTCATTTTTTTTTGCCGGGATCGTGAAGAAAACTGCTTGGGATACTTGGAATGTATATCCTGAAGTCACCAAGCATTCCTGTCACTGGCAGATGCCCCAGTAGATACCTGTATTGTATTTTATCTGACAACGCAATGCAATTCCTTGAGCTGTTTGTCATTCTTTTATATGACAGAACTAGTGTGACTTGGAACGTCAGTCAGACAAAAGCCAGACAGACACAGGCAACCCTAAAACAACACACATTACAGGAAGGTCAGGTGCATCTCTGCCACGTCCTGCAGACTGGGGTTGGAAGTTGGCATGTGATAAAACATGGATACCATAGTGGACAACGCTAGGTCAGGCTTTGTGCAGTTGTGAAGGAAAGTGTTTCCAGTGAGTGAGTTTAGTTTTACGCCGCACTCAGCAATATTCCAGCTATATGGCGGCGGTTTGTAAATAATCATGTCTGGACCAGACAATCCAGTGATCAACACCGTGAGCATCGGTCATGTATTATATTCTTCTGATGAAATTTACGCAATCACAGAGAAATAGTTTCTTTTCTTACAATCTGGAAAGTACGTTTTAAATAACCACCTTACTTTGTTTAAGATATGGCCAGGAATATCAGTACAATACATCTTTCTACAGTTTCAATATTCATGATCAGTCACTGGAAACAGACCCATGAAGGTCCGAGTTAGAATATTGATCTTCAGTAACCCATGCTTGTCGTAAGAGGCGACTAACGGGATCGGCTGGTCAGGCTCGCTGACATGGTTGACACATGTCATCGGTTCCCAATTGCGCAGATGGATGCTCATGCTGTTGATCACTGGATTGTCTGGTCCAGGCTCGATTATTTACAGACCGCCGCCATATAGCTGGAATATTGCGTGTGGCGTAGAACTAAACTCACTCACTCACTAATAATACAACAGAATCGTTTACTTGCAAATAAGTACTGCATTATATTGTTCTCTGAAACTTTGCATTTGTAAAATACTAACCGGAATACTTCTTACATTATAAAGCATAATACCAACAGATCATACACAAGAGTGCACAAATATATACATTCATTTGTTGCTATTTAAAATGTCTTTTTCAAAATATTTTAAATATATCAGTATAACAAGGCAATTTCTGAATATTTTGGCGGCCATCTTGGATTTTTATCACCACCAGGTGGCGCTGTGTAATAAATTGGGAATATGTACCTCACTGTTCCAATTAATCCTCTATGAAATACGAAATTTGACAAGATAATTATGATATATTGAACATCGATTGCATTTTAGTCGAAATGGCGGCCATCTTGGATTTTCTGCCACCAGGGGGCACTGCTGAGGTGGATCCATATCCAGAAATGTTCGGAATAGTTCAATATATAAGTGTGCCAAGTTTGGTGCTTTTAACCCAAAGTGCACAATTTTTGCCTTAACCGCCCCACTAATGGGCCCCGAGGGACCAATGAACAGCGTATTTATCTTACCGAACACCCCCATGTTAATTTCGAACTCTTTGAAGCACGGGTATCGGATTATAATAAGGCGTACCAGAGTTAGGCAATTACCTATACCGACAACGGCAGACGACAAGAAAACCAACTTGAGAGTTATCTCCCTTCCATCGATTTGCATGCGCAAAACATTGGTAATCTCCGTACACCATACGTGACTCAATTATTCGAGATAAAGAATTACAAACACGAAGTGCCCAGCGGGGTACATTGATATTAATAGAAGAGCGCTCAACCAATCAGAAAATGACATTTATGTGCGAGGAAAGATAAGTTGTCCTGTCCGTGTACACCACAGATGGGCGACCCTCGCATATGTCGGACATATCTTCATGTCTTCGTATACCACTGATGGGCGAAGACAGCTTTCTCACTCAATTATAGCATATTTTATTGAGCTGTCACTTCAGGATGTTTCAATCAAATGTGTGTTATTAAAGCTTACTTCCAATACTCATTTCGGGGCAGTGGGGTAGCCTAGTGGTTAAAGCGTTCGCTCGTCACGCCGAAGACCCGTGTTCGATTCCCCACATGAGCACACTGTGTGAAGCCCATTTCATGTGTCCCCCGCCGTGATATTGCTGGAATATTGCTAAAAGCGGCGTAAAACTAAACTCACTCACACCAATACTCATGTATTGTTCAACTTTGTTTTCTACACATATTTTATGACCGTTGCCAGCTTCCGCACACCCGATTTCATCAGAAGAATCCACAACTGAAAGCACCATGTCATCAACAGAAAGAAACATGTCACCGACAGAATCCACGTCCGGAAGTACCTTGAAACCACCAGAATCCACGTCCGGTCGTACCATGTCACCAACAGATTCCATGACCGGAATTACCTTGAAACCAACAGAGTCAATGTCACCAACAGATTCCATGACCGGAAGTACCAATTCACCAACAGAATCCATGACCGGACGTGCCATATCACCAACAGATTTCATGACCGGAAGTACCATGTCACCAACAGAATCCACGTCCGGAAGTACCTTGAAATCAACAGAATCCACGTCCGGAAGTACCAAATCACCAACAGAGTCGACGACCGGAAGTACCTTATTACCAACAGAATCGATGACCGGAAGTACCATGAAACCAACAGAATCCACGTCCGGAACTGCAATGAAACCAACAGAATCCACGTCCGGAAGTACCATGTCGACAACAAAATCTACAACAGAGTCCCGAACTAACGGTAATAACATTAAAGTGATCGCATCTGTGTCATTGAGTTATATAAATATCATGAAAGGCACTTGAAGGCCAATAATTTACATATGAGAACAGCACATGTATCGTTTGTTGTAAATGTTAGAGGATATAGTGATAATGATTGTCAGTTTGATCTCCATTTTGTTGCAGCTAGTGTCCACGGTGTTGTTGTATTGCTGGTGTTGGTGGGTGTGATGGTCTTCACTACACTGCTAGTGACCTGTCTCCTCTGTGTGTACAGGTAAATCAACTAGGAACTATTCATGAAATGATTAACCGTCACATCAAATATGCTTCTGTATTACATGTCATGTCACTTCTGATCGTCATAGCAATATCGCGATTTGTAATTTGCATGTGTGAACAAGTACAATGTACTGGCCAGTTCCTATATTCTACGAAAACATTCTTTCAACATTTAATGTAAGCTGGACGTGTGTTTATTTGTTGAATACAAGATGATATATTTTGTTGTAGGAAACCCTGGAAAAAGGACCAGTCTTCCATCGTATCGCCCAACACGTGCACACACTTAAACCACGCGAGTGCACCTGTCGTTGCCAACCTATACTCTGAAATGACCTCTGGAGACGAGAATGTGGTGCATATGTCCAGTTTGGAGAACATTGGGCAGATGGCAGATAGTGACCACTGGACTCCCCTCACTGTCCGCCAGGGACACAGTGCAGTGAAGTACAGTGTGAGTCGGGTGGAGAACGGTGAAGGAGGTTGTCCAGGAGACCGTGTGTACGCCCAACTGGACATCCCCAGTGCACTACTGGGAGATTGAGGTTGGGAAGGAGGACTCCTTCTGTGTTGTCCATTCTCAGGTAAACCGTGATGACGTCATGCTACAGGAGCTGACCCTACAGAAGACATCGCAGACACGCCACATAGCAGATTCACCCACAGATCATCCCCCACGTCATCTTCGTACCTGTGAGATGGGATTTGCCGGATCTGATAGCGGAGACGTGTTCGAAGAAAGTTCAATATATGAACCCCTCTCCGACTTTAACCGCCTTTCGGTACGACGAACAGATGACACTTACACGTCCTTTCAGCTGCAGGAACTTAATGTCAAGCCAGGCATTCAGAAAACGAACAAGAGCTATTACTTCGAAAAAGAGCCCCTTTATTTGAAAAATGAAAGTAAAGCAGCTTTTGATAAACGCAGTTATACATCTGAAAACTCAGATAACCCTTATAACCATCTCAGCAGAACTGAACTACGAGTGACCTTCACCCAAGACTGTGACCTTCAAGAACAGTGTGAAAGGTCCGACAGTATACATGGCCGCCACGACGATCACCAAACAGTGACAGAAGCAGATGAGGACAACAGAAATCAGGACATTCGAGAACGCACTGGGCGAAAGAACAGGCATGACTACTTCGAATTAGAAGCCGTCCGATTTCCACAATACAAAGATGCTAGTGTCTCTCCCCGTCACGAGGATCTACCAGAATATATTGAGCACACAACCTATCACACTTCTGGGTGTCCATGTGAGCATCTGATGTCTGCCACCAAACACGTGTCAATGGACGTCTCGGATATCGCTGCTCCTGACATCTCAACCCCGAAAGACTTTGTCCCCCAGACAGACATGACAGGTGGGTTTAGACGTCGTGACCGGACCTCAGTCACGGTGAACCCATACCACCATCTGACACACCCATACAAGGTACATGGGACATACGAACATGACGTGGGGATCAGTATTCCAACAAACGGTCAAACACAGGATAGTACGGATGAGAACCTCCAAGATGCATTGGATCAATGTCAAATCCAGACAACAAGGAATGAGGATAGTAGTCACGTGACTCAAGGAAACCAGACAGCTCGAGACCGGCGTTTGGATGACGAGGGTTTGAGTGACGAGAGGAGTGGTGGCTACGCTGTCGGTGAAGTTACAGGTGGCGGTGACAAGCGATGAAAGGAAGCTGGGTCATACCGATCTTCTGTCTTGTTTAGACCGCCTCGACACTAGGCTGTAAGTGGGAACTCTCACGTGTGTAAATGCCACTCGGTTGCTATGCGCGGTTTATTATCCATATGTAAATACGGAGAAACTATCAGCTGACACAGACTTCAGTTACTGCACACCTGGTACGTCCCGGAAATTCTCGCCTGGGTTATTGAAAGGGTCGTTTGGTTGGTTCCAATCAATCTACATTTAGTATATGTGTATAAATAGTGTTGACATTAGAATATAATCACGACATGTGTATAAATAGTGTTGACATTAGAATATAGTCACGACATGTGTATAAATAGTGTTGACATTAGAATATATTCACGACATGTGTATAGTGTTAACACGCGACAGTGTTGACATTATAATATATTCACATGTGTATAAATAGTGTTAACATTAGAATATAGTCACAACATGTGTATAAATAGTGTTGACATAAGAATATATTCACGACATGTGTAAAGTGTTGACATTATTAATAATCACATGTGTATAAATAGTGTTAACATTAGAATATATTCGCGACATGTGTATAAGTAGTGCTGACATTAGAATATATTCACGACATGTGTATATAATATATTCACATGTATAAATAGTGTTGACATTATAATATATTCACGACATGTGTATAGTGATGACATTATAATATATTCACGACATGTGTATAAATAGTGTTGACATTATAATATATTCACATGTGTATAAATAGTGTTAACATTAGAATATATTCACGACATGTGTATAAATAGTGTTGACAGGATCTTATGTTCACGACGTGTATAAATAGTGTTGACATAAGAATATATTCACGACATGTGTACAAATAGCGTTGACATAAGAATATATTCACGACATGATATAAATAGTGTTGACAGGATCTTATGTTCACGACATGTGGAGACACAGAGCCCATGGCGTCATATTGGCAACTCCCTGTCTGGGTACATCAGTCAGTGACAGGATATATTGCACCTGATATTTAGGACACAACCATCGCTTTATCTGCCAAGTAAATTAGAGAAACATTGTTCAAGATAGGATTCTCACATGTATGGATCGCACAGGATGTCGGAGATGTAAATAATTTCTTATCATGTTTAAAACAGCGCCTCAAAGATATATCACACCAAAACTGGCATCATGAGATAAACAGTTCAAGTTTCCTTACCCACTACGCTTCATTCAAGTTTTCACTGGACAGAGAATCATATATCACGAACATCAGGAACAAACAACTAATAAGAGTCTACTTCAAATTTAGAGCTTCGCTAACAAACTTCAAGATAAACAAGCTAAGAACCAATAAAGATACAGCGGCAATCAACCCCATCTGTGAACTTTGTAATCATAACCTTAATGAAGATGAGAACCATGTATTTTTTGTTTGTGACAAGTATAATCAAGCCAGAACTCTATATCTACAGAAGCTACAATCAGTCTACAGAGGCCCACTTACCATTCAGGCAATTTTCATGTCACAAAATAGTAATGTACAGCATCTAACAGCTATCTATCTCAATGAGATATTCAAAATAAGATCAATATGAAACTCAAATGTTTATGATCACGTGTAATTTAAATTGTATATGTCAACTGTATCATAGGCCTTATGGCCCAAATACTACTGAATAAACTTCTCATTATCTGCCAAGTGAGCCGTGACGTTGCGTGGTTTTGAGGAATATTAGCACGGATGTTTCCTGGTGCACATAATGCTGGGATGTGTGTTGGCGAGGGAACACATCCTCATTGATGCTACTCCATACAATGGGAAGAAAGCCGAACATTGAAACAGGAACAAGGATAACACCAGTCAAACAGGGAAGAAAAACTAAGCTATAAAAGAAACATTGTATTAATTGTCATCCTTATCAGACACAGACACATGAACAGCTATTTAGTTATTTAGTGTTGCCCAACGATCGTTTTCCCAGAGGGTAAACATGGTTAGACTTCGGAAAACAGATCCCCGAGTTATGTCACCACTCCAACAATGTCGACACTATCGAGGAGTTGAATGGATGTGCAGTTATAGCAATTCCCCAGTTTCATAGAAAACAACTGACTGGGTAACGTCATGCTTTATTCCACTGTGTGAGTCCCTGCCTTCAACATTCCCATCTAATGTATATAGAAGAAACGACCAAAGTAACGCTGTCGACGACGTTAACGTCATTGGTGAAAACTGAACTTTGCAAACAAACCATCATGAATGTGGGATTAACACGATCGCTCGTGTAACCCTGAGATAGCCTGTAAAGCAGTTTGTAGAGTAGACCTAACCCGTTACCCCGTCACACATTGAAATCACCCGATCCCCATTGTAGTCTGACGTCAGGAACGACGTACCCTGCATTGTCCCAGACTGGGTTATTCAGGGTCCGCTCAGAGCACAGCAGTTACATATAAAGACCCTTTCACACAGTGACTGGATCAAGGTGTAACCCTGCAAGGTAGACAGGCCCCGATTTCTCGAAACCAACTTAAGTCTGAGTTTTGACTTAAGTTAGAGCTTTTACTCAATATTGACAAAATGCAGGAAAATACATTTTCCAGAATAAACTGAAACCGATATTTAACTCAAACACAGTAGACAATTTAAGTTTGGTAGATAGGTTGCTTGAGTTATTTTTGCTTTTTGACTTTAGAAATACACGCGAGTTAGACATTCAGCTGTTTCAAATTGTCAAACTCAGTTTGAAATTTGAGTAAAAACCAAATTTGTTTCGAGATACCAGGTCCTGGAATAGTTAGTTGAATGGTACAAATGCCGCGTGTCCGATGCGGAAAACCTAGTTTCATAATGACGTAATCTATTGGGCTAAGACGAGATTAAGTTCGCACCTAAATGTTCCAGGTATTCGGGCTCGAACGATGGTCCTCGCTGCTGGAAACAACAGTACACTTTCTGGGAATATGGTCACCATGTTAGTTAGGGCCAACATTGGCGGCATTTTATGGCCGCTTAATGCACCACTCGCATACAGGTCACCATGACAACACACAACCCCATGTGTGTAAACAACACTGAAGATACTACATATATCAGGGCATGTGGTCATAGCAACGTTCCCGGAACAGAACCGGTTGTATTATACGTGGTATGGTGAGCTCGCATCGAGGAGCGCTACTGAAACCACGGAGGCGGTCACTAGCAGGTATGACAACAATACGCCATCTAGGTCACGTGGCCCAACAGTTGTTCCTGGTATGGTGAGTTTACATCATAGAAACGATACATGTTGTAGCTTGGCGCATAGCTTGGTGCATACGGGAACGCCGAGTACACCATCATCTGCTCGTACCGATTCTGCCATTCTGATCGTAGGACCAGTTACATGTCAGGGCTATTGCTACATCCAAGTGTTACCATTCTGATCGTAGGACCAGTTACATGTCAGGGCTATTGCTACATCCAAGTGTTACCATTCTGATCGTAGGATCAGTTACATGTCAGGGCTATTGCTGCATCCAAGTGTTACCATTCTGATCGTAGGACCAGTTACATGTCAGGGCTATTGCTACATCCAAGTGTTACCATTCTGATCGTAGGATCAGTTACATGTCAGGGCTATTGCTGCATCCAAGTGTTACCATTCTGATCGTAGGATCAGTTACATGTCAGGGCTATTGCTGCATTCAAGTGTTACCATTCTGATCATAGGACCTTTTACATGTCAGGACTATTGCTGCATCCAAGTGTTACCATTCTGATCGTAGGACCAGTTACATGTCAGGGCTATTGCTACATCCAAGTGTTACCATTCTGATCGTAGGATCAGTTACATGTCAGGGCTATTGCTACATTCAAGTGTTACCGCTCTGATCGTAGGACCAGTTACATGTCAGGGCTATTGCTACATTCAAGTGTTACCATTCTGATCGTAGGACCAGTTACATGTCAGGGCTATTGCTACATCCAAGTGTTACCATTCTGATCGTAGGATCAGTTACATGTCAGGGCTATTGCTGCATCCAAGTGTTACCATTCTGATCGTAGGATCAGTTACATGTCAGGACTATTGCTGCATCCAAGTGTTACCA